AAAAATAAATCATTCTTAAATCAGCCCTGTAATAATATAATTACCAAAATTGTTAACTCATCGTCCCCTTTAAAAGGAGTTCATTATTTCACTCAAGTTCAGTGAGTCTCAGACGGTCTGCCAAGGTTAACTGAGCATCAAGGGGTTCAAAAAGACCTGCTTTGCTGTTTGTGACTAGTTTAAAGAAACTAAACTTTATCCTCTATTTTCATATTATATATATATCCCCTTGGTTCATACTAATAAAATATATCCCCCCATGTTCAGATTATACTATATCCCCTGGGTTCAAACTAAACTATACCCCATATGTTCATATTATACTATATCCTCTGGGTTCACACTAAACTATATCCCCTATGTTCATTTTATAGGATATTCACTGGGCTCATACTAAAACTATATCCCCTATGTTTATATTATATATATTCCCTTGGTTCATACTAATGATCTATATGCCCTATGTTCATATTATACTATATCCACTATGTTTATTCTAATCTATATCCCCTGTGTTCATATTATACTACATCCCCTATGTTCATTCTAATCTATATCCCCTGTGTTCATATTAAATTATATTCCCTGAGTTCATACTAAACTATATACCCTATGTTCATTTTAGATTATATTCCCTGGGTAAGGGTTCATACTAAACTATATCCCTTATGTTCATATTATACTATATCCCCTTTGTTCATAATAAACTATATCCCCTATGTTCATATTATACTATATCCCCTTTGTTCATAATAAACTATATCCCCTATGTTGATATTATACTACATCTAAACCAAGTAAAATTCAAGACAATCCCACATTGCTTGACTTTTCACCACACTCCCAGAAGTTACTGTACATCGACTTGGGATAATGCACTGCTCACAAGCCAAAGTCAATTCTAACTCACAATCTGCAGCTGGTTTTCACACTACTTTCTGGGACCCCAGTTGTATTGTTCTCGTGGTCTTCCAGGGCTGAGCAGGACATGACAAGCCAAGAGGAAATTACCCTGTTTACTTTAATTGAGGGGGAACAGGAAAGCAGCTGGGAAGATAAGAGTCAAGAGGAAACTGCAGAAGAATAAGGAGTCTGAAAAGTGGATGAAATGAAATGAAGGCATAGGAAAACAACTAGGAGAAGAACAGCAATCTGTGCAACAAGATAATTAGCACTTTGTACTGGATTGCATGTCTATGGTATTTAGCCATCCCAGACTGCATGGTTTACAGACAGCTCCCTCCATTTAACCTCATAGAAATTATTAATATAACACGTGCTGAGTGATTGGGGTCAAGAAAAGGGAAAGAGAAACTTTATAAAGATTGTTTCCAAAACAACATGTCTAGTCCCAGTCTACGCATATTTCAAATACCATGATTGACATTCAAAGTTTACAGAAACCTTATTAAACAGTTAGGGGGGTTTCTTCAAACACTCCATTAATGAAACCAGGAATAAATCTCAATAATGATCTTTAGAGCATACAGTTATTAACAGCATGTAATTAGGATGATACCATTCTAACGGTTCTATTCCATTATCGTGTCTGATATCAAGTGACACACGTGCATCAACAGCATTGACTGAGCAAGCTGCACGGACAGGATTAATCCCCATCGTTTGCCAACTATAGCCTGGAAAAATCCTGGGGTGCTATAGAAGCTCAGGGAGATAACTACCATAATAATGCCTGATCGTGATAGGTGTTGTTGGGGTTCACGGCAGCTGTGTGAAACTACTGAGCACATTATTGCAGCCGTGTGCTTTAATAAACACATATTCTGAATAACAGCAACATTATCATCCCTGGGGAACTCCACTAGCCAGCCACATCGGGATGCTGATAGCCCTTCACCCAGCCACCGATTGATCTGCACAGATTTGTCCCTTAGCTCATCCTATGACCATGCTGTCATGTGAGTGTCTGTTTACTGCTTACACTTGGAGTGTCTGTGTGTCTAGTGATCACAGTCCCCGTGTTTTTACAGAGCACCGTGCATACCCATTCACTTCTTCTGGCTGGGTCTGTGCCAGAACAAGAAACGGTTCTGGGATATTAGACATGTTTTCTGTATTTTATACACAGATCTAAAGCAGTTATTACCTGAGATGGTAAATTGTCTGAGCCTGGTGTGTGTAGTTATTTTTGGATTAAGATTGTAGCTGCTCAATACACTGTATGGTAAGAGTGTGCTGCTTAGTTTTGGCAGGTCCTGTGCTCTTGCTATCCCAAAGCATGGGTGTGCAGTGGAATGATCAGGATCAACTCCCTTTTCCAGACAGACAGACACACAGCTGGAAAATTAAACTTCCCCCAAACTAAGCAGCCCAGCTCTGTATAGTAAGAGCTTGGAGATGCAGTAATTGCTGTGATTGACAAACTCAGTAACAGTATCACCCACTGAAACCGTTACACACCTTCCTACAAAGCACTTGTACTCCAGATCTGCCAACTGACAGCTACTTCTGTCCACATCTCGAGATGCTCAACAACTTCCCACCCCCAGAGATCGCTGCCTTCCACAGCTCAGTCTGACAGCAGTATGTATCACATAAACAACACGACATCAAACCCCGAAACAAACCCCCCCTTTACCTGAGAACGTCTCAAACGCCACAGCAGGCAAAAGTCCAGCCAAAGTCAGAAGGCAACTTGCAAATACTTTCCCCATGGCAGCTTCAGCAATCAGAATCAAATACAAACATAAGCAATGTTTAGAAGTCACAAGAATTGAATAAAAAAAATAGTAGCACTGTTTAAAAACAAATAAAATAATAAAGTAGCTGAGTCTCCCTGGTTGCTGAGGTCGGAGAGAAGTTTCAGTTATTCTTGTCCCAATTTGCCACTTTGCTGTAATAGTCCTGTGTGGAGGGGAGTGTCACTGGCTCCCTGCCTTCTCCCTCTATATAGTAATGTGAGGGCTGCCGCAGCTCTCCCCGGCAGTGCCAGCGCGCCGCCTCTCTCACTCTCCGCTCTCAGCGTTCTGGATTCTGGATTTGGAACTCGGACTAAAGTTGGTTTCCCTGTAAAGATGTGTTAGCACATCTCTCGGGAGCGCGCACGCAGGCTGTGTGAGACTGAGGGAGGGGAGAGACCGAGTGTGGCTGTTCAAAGTCCTGAAAGCTTAGTAAATCACCCCTGCTTATCTCCCGTGCGTGGAAAATGACAAATCTTTTTTTTTTTTTCCTGTAAAAAAAAAGCAGAAATCCTCTTTATCTCTCTTACAATCAATAAAATGCAGCTCTATATTTCTGTCTAACCAGATATAATTACCAGTCTGCTCTATTTTACTGTTTCAAATAAAACACATCTCCATATCTTATATTTCCACCTACTAATAAAGCATTTCTCCATATCTTATATTACCACCTGCAAATGAAACATGCCCTCCTCCTTTTATATTCTTATTAAACAATGAGTATTGATTAACCATTTCAGGGCAACATAAATGTCCCTTTTTATTATCTGAAATGCATAAATACTTCACAAAAAATACTTAATATACATTAAGTCCCCCATATTAATATCCCTATGGGACTGGAAGTGAACATCTCTGGGACTGAAAGGGTTAATATACACACACTTTCACCGATCTGGGTTTTCATTAACCCATTCAGTCCCACGTTATCATCCCCATGAGACTGGAAGGCGTTACACTACACGACTACTTCACATAACATCTCTGGGGTTGAAAGGGTTAATCTATACACACCTTTGGTGATGTGTATTTACTGGCAATATGTGTATAGGGACACACTCGCTCTCTCTCTTCCACACATTTCCACACATACTCAGTGCAGATACAGTATGTATCACTGTGTATAGATGTGTGGGCTATGGTTGGGATAAGTGACGTAATGCAGAATTACAGGTAACACATGTCTGTTTGGATACCATGTAACGCTAGATTCCATGTAGTTTTATTATAGCTGAGACCACATGGTTTGACTTTCCAGTTATAGATGTACTCTGTGTATGCTCCTAGTTGAAAATAATACTGATATTATAGGAAGTCAGAATAACAGGGATGCACTCACAGCACAGGATTTGGAAAATAGTAAAATTTAATAGGTGTAACTGAAACATGTTACAATGAATCTACTATCAAATAAATATTTCTCCCTATCTTATATTACCACCTGCAAATAAAACATGTTTACTCCTCTTATATTCTTGAGTATTGATTAACCATTTCAGGGCAACAGAAATGTCCCTTTTTATTATCTGAAAGGGTTTACACATAAGTATCAAAGCTTCAACCGGGTCTTTTTCTTTTTCAAGAGAACTTGAAATGGACCTTAGAAAAGAACTGGTGGGGATTGAAATGTTGAACGCAGATTCATTGAAACAAGTTTTATGTACACTTATTACATTTCCTGATTTAGCAAGTCCTGTGAGCTCACCTATTTTTCTGACTTTGCTATAGTATATGTGGCCAGGTTTTTTTATTTTTTATAACATACTTGGTACATATGTGCGTGTATATATATATATATATATATATATATATATATATATTTACCCTTTCAGTCCCACATATACTACATGAGGCGGTAGTGTAATAACCTTTTCATGCTCTCCTCTAGATTGTAAACTTGTTTCTCATCGACGAGCAGGTTTCTCATCAATCTGTTCCTGTAAAAAATATCAGTGGTCTCATTTATTATAAAGAATAAATAATAATAACACTGTCCATGTAGGTGATAAAAGATGTGATTTCTAGGCTTAGATGGTTAATGAATAGCATTCTATCATTAGAATGTATTTGCAGGAGGTTAAAAAAAAAGAATATTAAAACAGAGAAGCCTGCTAATTACATCTGCTTAGAAAAATGCAAACTTGATTTTATTTATTGTAAGGGACATTTAAAGAGACTGCCAACTTTTTGCAAGAGAAATAGTTCAGGATTTAGGTGTAGGGGAGAGAAGCATGGATGATTTATCGATCTTTCAGGACTTTTGGCAGCCACACTCATCCTCCCTCCACTCTCCCTCCTCTGCTCACCCGGTCTCAGTGCTCCTTAGAAGGGTTGTGGAAGCACATCTGTGCAGAGAAAGAACTTTAACAGGACACCGGTGAGTTCTATTAATCTCTCCCGGTGAACATTCCAAATCAGAACTCACCAGCGAGTGTCTGTAAAGGGGGATGACGCAGCAAGGACCTGCCTTAGGGGTGTGCAAACTGTGCGGCCGCACAGGGTGCCATGGAGCAGGGTCTCACACATGGCTGGGTTGCAGGGGGAGGGTGGAGGGAGCTAGAGCTATTTTATTATTCTCCACCCTGGTCTATGTGAAAAACACAAACGGGCAGGGATTACCTGTGTGTGTGTGACTGTCTGCCTGTGTGTGAGATTGTTTGTGTGTGACTGTAACTTTGTCTGTGTGTGTGATTGCAACTGTGTGTGCGTGTGTGTGTGTGACTCTCTGCCTGTAACTGTGTATGTGTGTGTGAGAGTGTCTGCCGGTAACTGAGCGTGTGTGATTACTTGTAACTGTGTGTGGTTGTGACTCTTTGCCTGTAACTAAGCATGTGCGACTGTCTACCTGTACCCTTTGTGTGACTGTCTGCCTGTGTGTGAGACTGTTTGTCCGTGTGTGACTGTAACTTTGCCTGTGTGTGTGTTTGCAAGTGTGTGTGTGACTGTCTGTTTGTAACTGTGTGTGTGGTTTTGACTGTTTGCCTGTAACTGAGCATGTGTGACTGTCTACCTGTAACTGAGCATGTGTGACAAAGTTAGTCTGCCACTCTGTAATGCATGGGAAGCAGTCTGGCACCTCTGGCCTGCACTTCTGCTAGCTGCAGATCATAAGTAGCTGCCTGTGTGTGTGTGGCTGTCTATGTGTGTGTGTGTGTGTGTGTGACTGTAACTTTGCGTGTGTGTGTGTGTGTGACTGTGTGCTTGTAACTGAGCAGCCTGGCACCTTTGGACTGCACTTCTGCTAGCTGCAACCATACGTAGCTGTCTTCCTAGCTCTGGCCAATCAGTGTGTTGCTGTGGATTATTACAGGCAAGTTTTGACACTGTAAATGCCTAAGCTAACGAGGCAGTTACTCATAGTCTGCACCCGGTGAAGGGGCAAACCAGGTTCCCAGCACACTGGAACACCATAGATCAGTATTCCACCTCTCACTGCAAGGTAACAACTGGGAAGGGAGAATGAATATTTTAAAATGTTTATTAATGTAATAAATCACCTATACAAACACACATACATGGATGAAGGTGTATGACGGGTCAGGCGCTGTGAAGATTTTTTTTTTTTGCACATTGTGCCTAATGCCCCTGCTCGCAGCGATACGTTCGTCAGACTGTAATACCACATGCATGCTTTAACTGCTGCACTGCCAAGCATAGATTTCATTTATTTTCTGTTGTGCTCAGTTCTGCAACTCTAGAAGCTGTGTAATGCATTGATGTGGTATTTCTCGTCACGGATGTCACAGAGTATAGGAGGCCTAGGTGCTTAGTAAAATCAGACATCCACTACAATTGTCCTTCACAGAAATATTCACAAATAGAAGCTCATGTGCACACAATACATTTTAGATTTGCTCCATATGAATAATTTTTAGGTTTGCTCCATAAAACCATTATTTTTTTGTCTTGTATTCTGTGTTTCCACTGTTTCCCTTTTTGTTCATTATGGTTCCTTTGAAATGTCCTGCAACTGTTTTGTTTTTCCTGTAAATCATTTTTTTTTTTTTGGGGGTGGGGGGGGTCATTACTGGTAAAATTACAGGCATACAACTTGCTTACATTCAACAGTCAAATAGGCATGCCATACACAATAAACAGTGTTCAATCAAGTGCAATGGCTTTCATCTTGAGTCTCCATCCCACACCTAATTTATTTCAGTGGTGTAGTAAACGGTTATATAATAACAATCCAATGTAACTATTGCCTCAGACCACTTAACTTATTGCCATTTTATTTTGAAAACCTATATTTGTGATAAAAAGTTTTAAACTGAAACCTAAATAGATATATAATTAACCTGCACAAAAACAGAAGGGGGAGGGGTGTAAACCATTAAGCTACCCAGGGCCGTCTTTAATTTAGATTGGACCCTGGGCGAGCATTTACTTGGGCCCCCTGACTACGTCTAGATACACACAAATACACTACCTGACACACATGCAGATACACACTGACCACATATAGAAACACACAAGAACATACAGATACACACAGACTACATATAGATACACTGACACACACACATACAAACACTGACATACATGCAGATACAAAGGTACACACACTGACTACTTATAGATACACCGACACACACACTGACAGACAGACACACAGATACACACATGCAGATATACAGATACAAACACTGACACATACAGATACACACACAAATACAAATGGACAACATACAGATACAGAGACACATTCTGACAGACGTACTGGCACAGACTCACACACAGAAAACCATACTGAAACACACATACACAAAGACATACTGAACCACACAGACACTGATGGACTCTCACACACACAGACATACAGATACACTGACAGACGTACTGGCACATATACACACAGACAGACGGACATACTGAAACACACATACACACAGACATTGACAGACATATTGACAAACACAGACATACAGAACCACACTGACAGACTCACACATAGACATACTGACAGACATACACACATTCTGGCACACACACACAGACAGACTGAAACACACAGACACAGACACTGACAGATATACACACATACAGATATTTTGAAACTCACAGACAGCCATACTGAAACACACAGACACTGACAGACTCACACAGACATACTGGCACACAGACAGACATTCTGGCACACAGACAGACATTCTGGCACACAGACAGACATTCTGGCACACAGACAGACAGACATTCTGGCACACAGACAGACAGACATTCTGGCACACAGACAGACATGCTGAAACACACATACCCACAGACACTGACAGACAAACACACATCCAGACATTTTGACATACACAGACAGCCATACTGAAACACACATACACACTGAACCACAGACACTGACAGACTCACACACAGACATACTGACACACTGACAGACATACACACATACAGACATACTGAACCACACAGACACTGACAGACACACACACAGACATACAGATACACTGACAGACTTTGATAACCACCCTCCAGTTTCTTACCTTGTCCTGGAGGGTGGCTTCCCTGGGGTCCAGTGGGCTGGCTGGGGTGGCTGGGAGTTAAGCTCTCCCGGCCTGGCCCCCTCCGGAACAGCTGGTCCGCCTTCCTCCCGCGCGGCTCCAGTTTCTGTGGGAGGAAGTGACGCACGGCTGTCACTTCCTCCCACTGCTGCCGAAAAGCAAGGACCCGGTCGCGCTGTTAAAGCGCCACAGCGCCCGACCGGGCCCCTGCTGACACAGTCCCACCGGGTGGCCCTAAGTGCATGGGCCACCCGATGGGCCCCCATAGTTTGCGGGCAGAGGGCAAACAGGGCAGTTACCTCGGGCCCCCCAGCAGGGACAGGGCCCGGGGCAGCTGCCCCGTTTGCCCCGCGTTAAAGACGGCCCTGAAGCTACCAGGATAAATCGTTGACCTGTAGCCCAAGGAGCAGCAAAGCTAAGGAAATGGGCCTTGACAGAGCTAGGAGGCAGGCATATAAGCTAAGGAGTGGGGGGAGGTTTCATATAATAGCGGACATTTTAGATTAGGGGCCATTTTAATCATCCATACTTGCCTGTGGTTGTATGCTGCAGGTTTGCGTGGTGTTTGCTTTGTCTTTCACTGTCACTGGGGCAGACTGGCAGGAATGATAAGGGCAGATCTAGGAGCAGCAGGCGTTCCAGGCACAGGACCGAAGGCAGACTGCGCAGCGTTGATAGGGATTCCTGGGGTGAGCGGCCAGGACGACAGCGGCCTTCCTCTTCTGCTTCATTCCAGAAGGGTAGGGGGAGTGCTTCCAGGTCCGACAGCGGGAGCCCCTTGGATAGGAGATACACTCAAGAGTCAGTAGGTTGTGATGGCCGTAAGGTTCAGGATGACAGGCAAGGCAGGAGAGATTTGAGGCGGGGATCTTGCTTGGAGGATGTGGATGGCCTACCCAGTTTCTCTTCTCCTTTCTCTTCTTTGTCATGTTCTCCCACGGACCAGGCATGGGTCCAGGAAGCAGGTCCCAGAATGTTGGCATTTATTCCTGGGACCCTCCGCTACCCAATCTTTGTATTTCTCAATTGGGGGTTGTTCTTAAGAAGGAGCCTGGGAGGTACTGTCTCTTACATCATCTTTCCTACCCAAAAGGGTCATCAGTGAATAATGACATTGATGCTGCCTTATGCTCAGTGTCCTACTGTGGCATTACTTGCCTCCAACAAGCAGTGCAGACCCTGTGCCTCCAAAAAGTGATCTTCTTCATGGACAACATGTCACTGGTATCTGCGGTTAATCTGTTATCTGCCTCTTCCATGCCAGTTATTCGTTTGTTGCAGCGTTTTGTATTGCTTTGCATGCAGCTTAATATTGTTTTTCGGGCACGTCATGTGCCTGGTTTCTTGAATATCATTGCCGATGTGCTTTCTCGTGGGAGAGGTTTCGAGCGGCGGCTCCCGGAGCGCGGAAGAAGGGTCAGGCCTGCCCAGTTGACGTGTGGTAACTCGGGACATCCTGTTTATATGATTGATCAAAGAGTCTTTGGCTCCTAGTACTTGGTTGCCATATGTCAAGGTGTTGAGGACATAAGATGAGTCACATGTGTGTGGTGGGGGACACCACTTAGCTGAGGTATGGTTGGATATGCTGTTATGGTACTTGTGTAGATTGTTCTCTATCTATGCTTCGTCTTCGGTGGTAGATAGGCATATGGCGGTGTTAGCCTTTTTGTTCAAGTTAAATGGTTGGGAGGACTTCACCAAGAATTTTCTAGTTCATCAAACATTGAAAAGTTTTCGTAAGGGTAAGAGAACACCAGACACCCGTTGGCCGGTGTCTTTTGACCTTTTACACAGTTTAATAGGGGTGCTACCAGATTTCTGTTTCTCCCACAATGAGGTTTTATTGTTCATGATTGCTTTTGTTTGGGCATTCCTTGCAGCTTTTCAGTTAGTTAGTGGGAAGGTGGTAATCCGTGAGGTTCCAGTCGTAAATTAGACTGGACCATTTGGTTTAAATTTGGGTTGGTATATTTATCTGCTTGTCTATGGTAACATGTTGTCTTTCTTTTGTAGGCCGGGTCGCCTGGTTGGTGGGCCACTCATACATCCATTGGGCGCAAGAGAGAGCCGCAGTTGCACATTATGGAGAACAGCTGGGCTTTCCACAGTCTTTGTTACAACTGCGTAGGTTTGGTTTTCAAGGGTTTAGTTGGAGGGAAATTTCTTTTAAGATTTTCAGGCTGCTAGGTTCCGGACAGTTACCAGATTTTCTTTTAATCCACGCTGGGAGGAATGATTTAGGTCAAGTGCCTCAGAGGGACTTGGTGCAATGTATGAAGCGTGATCTGGATAGGTTGAAGGGTCTTGCTCCGGGTGTAGTGATAATTTGGTCAGAGATGGTGCCCCGTTTGCATTGGCGTCATGCTCTTGATCCTGTGGCAGTGACCAAGTGTCGAGGGAAGATTAACAAGCTGTTGTCCGTTTTCGTTAGATGTATGGGGGGAGTAGTTGTACGGCACTGTAAGTTAGACACCATGCTTACTGGTTATTTTAGGCATGATGGGGTGCACCTTTCCGACATAGGGAACGATTTCTTTAATATGGGTTTTCAGGAAGGCTTGCAGCGTGCATTGGTTTTGCGGGCTTGGGGCGCTCAGGTGTCTTGAAAAGTCAAGCTCTGAGCTGGGGCAGGCCTGGATTAGAAATTGGGGGTAGGTAGGATTGCTAGCTGGTATGTTTGAAGTTCGGTAACAAAATTCACATGGTTTAATTTAGTAGGTTGGAGCCCATTGGTGGTTTTCAAACTGGAGGTGTATGGGGTATCTCGGTATACCCATACAATGTTAAATCCTTTGGAATAAGACCTCCTGTTGTGGCTGTGTTTTGTGTTCTGTTATTCATATATTGTCATTTCCAGTGGGTATCGTACTGCTAAAGGTGGGGGTGTATATTATTTATTTATAAAATATTTTTCCAGGAAAGATACAGTGAGATTTCTCTTGTTTTCAAATTCAAATATGTCCTAGGTATATGTGTCTATGTTAAAATTGTGTAGGTTTAGCAAAGACTTTTGGATATATATATATGTGTGTGTGTGTATGTGTATATATATATATATATATATATATATATATATATATATGTACACACAGTGAGGGGGAAAAAGTATTAGATCTCCCATTGATTTTGAACGTTTGTCCACTGACAAAGAAATGATCAGTCTATAATTGTAATGGTAGGTGTATTTTAACAGTGAGAGACAGAATAAAAAAATCCAGAAAACGCGTGTTAAAAAAGTTATAAATTGATTTGCATGTCAATGAGTGAAATAAGTATTTGATCCCTTATCAATTAGCAAGATTTCTGGCTCCCATGTGTCTTTTATACAGGTAACAAGATGAGATTAGGAGCACTCTCTTAAAGGGAGTGCTCCTTATGTCAGCTTGTTACCTGTGTAAAAGACACCTGTCCACAGAAGCAATCAATCAATCAGATTCCAAACTCTCCACCATGGCCAAGTCCAAAGAGCTATCGAAGGATGTCAGGGACAAGATTGTAGACCTACACAAGGCTGGAATGGACTACAAGACCATCGCCAAGCAGCTTGGTGAGAAGGTGACAACAGTTGGTGCGATTAATCGTAAATGGAAGAAACACAAAATAACTGTCAGTCTCCCTCGGTCTGTTGTTCCATCCAAGATCTTGCCTCGTTGAGTTTCAATGATCATGAGAATGGTGAGGAATCAGCCAAGAGCTACACGGGAGGATCTTGTTAATGATTTCAAGGCAGCTGGGACCATAGTCCCCAAGAAAACAATTGGTAACACACTATACCGTGAAGGACTGAAATTCTGCAGCACGCGCAAGGTCCCCTGCTCAAGAAAGCACATGTACCTGTGTGAGGTTTCCCAATGAACATCTGAATGATTCAGAGAAGAACTGGGTGAAAGTGTTGTGGTCTGATGAGACTAAAAATGAGCTCTTTGGCAATTACACCACATCAAAGGTTGAGAACCTCCTTCCCTCAGCAAGTGCATTGAAAATGGGTCGTGGATGGTTATTCCAACATGACAATGACCCAAAACACACAGCCAAGGCAACAAAGGAGTGGATCAAAAAGGAGGGGCCTAGCCAGTCTCCAGACCTTAATCCATAGAAAAATCTGTGGAGGGAGCTGAAGATCGAGTTGCCAAACGCCCGCCTCGAAACCATAATGACTTGTAGATGTGTGCAAACGTCTGACCTCTGTGATTGCCAACAAGGGTTTTGCCACCAAGTACTAAGTTGAAGGGGTCAAATATTTATTTTTCTCATTTACATGTAAATCAATTTATAACTTTTTTGAAATGCATATTTTGGGATTTTTTGGGTTATTCTGTCTGACTGTTAAAATACACCTACCATTACACCTACAACTTATATATCTGCTATCTCCTCAATTGACACCCTAATACGCCAACACTGCACAGTGTCCTACTCAGATTTACAAAAAGAATACAACCTACCAAACTCTTTTTTGTTTCCATATCTACAAATTAAGAGCATTATCCCAACTCATCTATACACCAGGTCTGAAATGCCCCCCCCCCCCTATTTACTAAAGCAAACATAATTCATAAAGGTGCCATAAAACTAAATTATCAGCCTGCTACAAAACCATCATGTAAGGGATCCCACGTAAACCACCTACTTATATGACCCAATGAGCCACAGAAACTACTGTTGCCCTGACCAAAACAGAATGGATTTCCTCTAACGTCTTAATTGAGGCGCACAGGAAACTTATATATAGATGGTATCTGACACCTAGCAGACTCCATAAAATATTCTCAAATGTGCCTTGTTCATGCTGGAGGTGTGGTGAGTATGAGGGACATATGACACACGTATGGTGACGCTGTAAAGCACTTAAGCTGCTATGGGACGCAGTTAACAAACTCTTACAACCCGTTGTTGCTAGAAACCTACCTACCAAATTCAGACAACTAGTAATGCTCACTATATTAGCAGCTAGGAATCTAATAGCCCTCCACTTGAAGCAACAAATATGCCCATACAAATTTCAGCTAATAGACCAGCTTAACCAATATTATATGTATGAGAGGATGTCCCTCACATCCGAAAAACATACCGAAACCTTCAATACCTTGTGGCAACCATGGCTAGAAAACTTTAATAGTGAACAATGTGACTAGACTCGATATACTGTATAAATATATATGAATACTGTAAATGTTGTATACCATATGTTAAATATGCTTATTTGCAATACCTCTCCAACCCCTCCCTTTTTTCCTTTCTGTACCCTCAACCCTTTTTATCAAAAAATAAATAAAAACCTTTAACCCCTTACAGACACATGATATGTGTGACATGTCATGATTCCCTTTTATTCTAGAAGTTTGGTCCTTAAGGGGTTAAATTGTAAAAAAATGTATAGTGTTGTTTATTGTATTAAACAAAATCAAAGCAAATGAAGTACATACAGAAAAGTCCAGGTGGTTCACAGTCCAAAACGCGTTTCGTCGGTTAGACCCAACTTTCTCAATTGGTATCTGCACTGCTGCCATTTTAAATCTTAAATACCCCTAAATACCCCCGCAGATACCAGGTCGGCGGTCACGATCCACTGCCCAATCCGGCAGTCCCGCACCATGTGATTGCAGAATCCTTGCGATGACATGGCCAGAATAGCTGACTTATGCAGTGCCTGCAGGGAGACTGCCTGAACTCCCAGGCTGTCCACCTCATGCCTGCAAAAAAAATAATGAATTAATAATAGTTGTTAAAAAGTTTAATAACGTAAATAAAAGTACTTAGATCATATATCTAAGTACTTTTATGAGCAGATACATAAACTATTATTCTTAGTGTATTTTAATATTAAAATACACTTAGAATGATGTTTATATATATATATAACAATAATCAATAAATATCAATAATAATCAATAATATATATTTTTTTAAAGGATATACCGGTTTAAATTTGTTCTAACTATTTTGATATTATACCTATATTAAATTCAATATACATTTAAAATGATATTCTAGATACATGTATGTATATATATATATGTAAATATATATATATATTTATAGTTATATATAAAAAAAATAAAAATCTTATATATACATATATATTTTAATTCTACAAATATGTTTATATATTTTCACATAATTAAGTAATTGTATTAATTACAATCTGAGGGACCTGCCCAACAACCCAGGCAGAAAGTCCAGAGAATTTCCCTCGCAAGCCCTATATTTAACCCTGCAACTTTCCATGACACCATAAAACCTGTACATGGCAGGTACTGAACACAAATATTAGTGTTTAAAAACAGTAAGACACATCACAACTAGATAACGTAATTTTTTTTGCATTTTTCACACACAAACTACTTTCACTGACGATATTGTTGTAATATGTTTTACTATTTTGAAACACTAATATTTGTGTTCAGGGAAGTCTCCCTAGTATAACAGTGCCCCCCATGCACAGGTGTTATAGTGTTTTCAAAAGTTACTGAGTCAAATATAAGGCTTGAATTTCCTTTTTTTCACATTGAAATTTGGCAGATTTGTTATGTTGCCTTTGAGAGCGTATGGTAGCCCAGGAATGAGAATTACCCCCATGATGGCATACCATTTGCAAAAGTAGACAAAAGGTATTGCAAATGAGGTATGTCCATTCTTTTTTTTTTTTTTTAGTAGCCACTTAGTCACAAACACCTGCCAAAATTAGCGTTCAATTTCGCTTTTTGCAATTTTCACACACAAACAAATATGAATGCTAACTTTGGCCAGTGTTTGTGACGTAGTGACTACTAAAAAAGACTGGATATGTCCCATATTGAATACCCTGGGTTGTCTACTTTAAAAAAAATATGTACATATGAGGTGTGATTCAGAGATTTATGACAGATAATAGTGTTACAATGTCACTATTGATAAATTTTAAAAATATATATTTTGAAACAGCAATTTCCTACTTGTACTTATAGCCCTATAACTTGCAAAAAAAGCTCATAAACACTGGCTGTTTTTAAACTCAGGACAACATTTTGAAGCTATTTAGCAGTTTTTGTCATTAGCTTTCATAGGTAAGTAAAAGATTTTTCAAGTAAATGTAAAAAAAAAATGTCTGTTTTTCAATTTTTCACCATATTTTATTATTGTTAAAAAAGGTAAATTATATGACATGATACAAATAATGGTATGTAAAGAAAGCCCCTTTTGTCCTGAAAAAAAACAATATATAATTTGTATGGGAACAGTAACTGAGAGAGAGGAAAATTACAGCCAAACACAAACACCACAAAAGTGTTAAAACAGCTCTGGTCCTTAACATACAACATGTCCAAAACAGTCTGGTCCTGAAGGGGTTAAAACATTCCAGGTTTTGTTTTGCTCACAACTTGCACAATTGGCTCAGTCCTTAAGGGGTTAACTGTGTTTGATTCTTTTAGTCACTAACATGTTTGTTTTTCTATATAATTTAGGTCAATAGGCGGTTTCTTTCCAAGGTCCATTAACTTATCTTGGCACATAGTAGTGCTCCATTCATAAATATTCCCAATGTAGCATTTACGGTAATGGTTTTAATGATACCCTCCGCCTTGGGAATGGATACGTTTTAGTAATAGAAAATAGTCTATTTTACAAATTCATTATGATCTGCACACTTTTTACATCATTACTCTAATACATTTCCTTTATTTACACATTCACCTCCTCGATGAACATCACTTATCCCTTTTCTCCCCACGTTCTATTGTACATTTAAACTGAGTTTACAATATATATTTATATTGTACTTTTAGTGCAAACATATTACTTTATGCGAAAAAACATATATTTTTAAAGTATTGATTTTATTTAGCCTGAATCATGCTTACTGCTGTTCTCCATCTCTACCCATGATTAAGAAATGTATTTTTTGTTCTCGTGCTAAACTCTGTCCATATAAAGTTCTTCTGGTGCTGCTTTGTTCTTTCTTGCATCTTATCTACTTATTGTTGTTTCTTCTATTGTAATCTTTAGACCTGTGTATGGCAAAGAAATTCTGTTTGTCTGAATTAACTCCTCTCGAAAAAATGTTTAGTTTGGACAGACACAATTTCATCTATGGCATTTCAGTTTGGATGAATTTAGTCTGCGTAATCATTTCGGGAAAACTATTTGTACGACCCAAAATGGCGCTAAAATGTGGTTCAAAGATCACATGAGAAAACAGGACCAATAGAGCCAAAAAAAGAGGAAAATATATCTATATTTATTTAAAAATATGTAATATATATATAGATTTTAATTTTAATTTTTTTTATTGCTCCTGCTATTATCCAGTATTGGTCACTACACACTTGATCTGTGAATAAAATGAACATTTCGTGGCTGCCCCCTAGACATCAAATTATGATTTATTTTTTATGCGCATTGATGGAAGTCTGAATTATGAAGCAAACTAAACATCACATCTATTGCCCTTTTCATTTATTTTGTGATTTGGCCAGATGATGGTTCTAAGTCAGGAAATCAGCGGAATTGCTAATCGACCAATATTCAGACAAATTATGATTCATTTGAAACTGAACACAAGTCTGATAGTCTTCAGTTACTCAGGCTAGCTTTACTGGGGCTATTTGTCTTCACTCCCCTTCCTCCTACTGTATAAGGTATTTTGCTAGTCTTCCTTGCATCTTGGTGGTCCTTTACTGGTCCTGTCTTTTCTGCTGCATTCTGTTTTCTTACTTTCTCCTTCCAGTTCATCACTTCTTTCTATAGTAGTTAATGTATAGGAAATGTGGTTGAGACGGTTTACTGAAGGTTACCTATGACATTTATCAGTTTCGAGACTTAAGACTCCACTGTAGATCTGTAGACTATTTTGCCAATTAGAAAACATCTTGCCACCTAATAGGAATAGTGTTACCTGGCCCCTTTCCACATGCACATTAACCTGAAAACCAAAATATTTTTAAACAGTTTGATACAAATAGATGGTCCACTCATTTGACATATCGCTATTATGTAAGTTTATACATTAACAATATCTAATTTGCCCAGTTTTGATGGAATTTATTGGCTGAATATGTAAGCTATCTTGCGTAGCTGATGAATGCCATCTAAATAGTGACATAACTGATAATGTGGAAGTGATGAAGCACTATACCAATAGAGAACATTTGCTGTGGATCATAATCCTCTATATTACATGGGAATTATCCTGATGCAATTTAGTTTTTATCATACGATATCCTCCTTTTAATCTATGTTTAGAGTAATCCAGTTCATACTCATTAGACTTTGAAGATTGGATAGGCAGATTGGTTAGACAGTCCTTAATCATATGTTCTCTTAAATATGCATTTTGGCCAGCTGTTTTCAAGAAGGATCTTATGGAACTAGAAGTAGTGCAGAGGTCAAAATGAAAAAGAGGAATGGAATATTTTATTGATGAAAGGACGACTGGAAGATATGAACTTATTTTCTTTTAAAAATGGCAAATTAGAGGATTTGTGTTTTACGTTTTGATTTGGTCTACAATTTTTGATTTTCAATTTGCAGAAATTAATTTCAATGTTGATTCGGGTTTGTTATTTTCGTTAGTTAAATAAATTTTGGGCACCTATTAATCCCAATAGAAAATTAATAATCCATAAAGCGGGCAGTCTTTTACTAGTTTACCGACAGATATTCATTTTCGGATTAAATTAGCATAACTGAATTTTCATTATGTTTTCAGTGTGCCCAAAAACAAATACATATGTTTATTCATTATTAGTCCCATACAAAAGAGAAGAGGTGACCCATTTATACCTGAAAATAGATTTTACCCACAGCAGAATAAAGAGTATTCAGAGTATTCACAGTTAAAACAATAAAAATATTTAATTCTCTGCTTAAATATGTTGTTTTACCAGATTCTGAACAGATGTTTAAGCATTCTGGATGCATTTTTGGAATATTCAAGGATATACTAATTTATATACCTCTAGAATGTAAGCTCACTTGAGCAGTGTTACCAATTGTAATTTAAAAAAAAATGGTTTCTTACTAATTTTCTAATCTCCACATTCAACATTTTAATATGTTGTGATTTTTTTTTTATTTTTATAAATGCCAATAATGAATATATTAATAGAGAGGTAACAGTTAATTGATTCACAGAAAAATCTAATTGCCAATTTTGAGTGAAGAAGGATTTTTTCCCAAATTGTTTATAAATTTTAAATTGCTTCACTCCCCCCCCCCTTCTTTTGAATCACCAACTGTATTATAGCTATGTGAAAGAATGAACTTGATTTTAGTCCTTAAGAAAATTTCCTTATGAAGTCCAGCATGTTCCTTTCTTCATTTATATATAGAATGTGCAATGAAAGATAAACTGAGAAAACACAATTATAAAAAAGGTAGAAAACATACTAAATGAAAAAAGACTACTATTACTAATAACTATATAATCATCATCATAGGTAAAACAGTTCCAATGGAACTATGGGAAAGAAATAAAAAAAACTAAGGTTTTAAATGCAAAATAGACCAGTGGAAAAATGTCATTGTTCTCTACTTAATGTAAGATTATGTTAACCTTTCTGCATACAGGTCTACTCCATTCACAATTATATGACTTCCGAAGACAGTTGGTTTATTTAATGGTGTCACATCAACATAGGTCCAATCAAAGCTTTTCATTTTATTATGTTTAAATTGCATACTAAAATACATTGATGTACCCCTTTTTGATATTATGGACTAATTTATTTAAGTGACAGGCACATTTTTTAAACAAATTTTATTCAAGGTCAAAAGCAATACAGAAAAAAACAATGTTATCAAATGGCATCATATAACAAAGATTGGATCCATATTTAAAAAGCATGTCTTAACAATGTTATCAAATGGCATCATATAACAAAGATTGGATCCATATTTAAAAAGCATGTCTTAACATTAGAATATTCAACACCATATAACAATTTACAGAGAAATGCCCCCCAAATATTTCAATAAATTATATAAAATTAGAGTTTAACTGAGTAACTTAAACTACGGAGGACTTAAAATAGACATTGAAAAGAGGAGGATTGAATTTTGGAAAGGAAATAAGTGAGTAGAGATGAAGAGGAACTGGGGACATCCTTGATCCAGTGAGGGTGGTCAGGAATTCCACATGTGCATAATGCATAATACATTTTCATGCGTGTGATGGCCAAACAAATCGCCATTATATACATTATTAGTCCTGAATGTAACATTGGATAATTATTTATTTGAAGTACTGTTTATGGGTGGGAGTGTGTGTAGTATCTTTGCGTCAATTTTCTTTTAAAATATTTTGGAAAGCTTGGCTCCAAAAACATCTTATGACACACAAGGGATAGAGTACTTTTTTCATATATATATATATTTTTTTAATAATAAGTATTATCACTCTTCCTTGCTCCCTGGGGAAAGTCAGCACAAACACAGTTTGACTATGTCTAATAAAGGAAGGTTTCCAACTCCTTTATAACTGTTGGTAAACTGATCGGACAGAAATGGTCAATATGTCTTTTCTGATATGGCAGATCCAACAGCAATTGCTCAGATGAACCAAATCCCCTATTCCACTGATAGCCTATGCGGGTGATGACCCATTTGGGCACTCTGGATTCTTCTCATCTATACTATTACAGCCAGGTAGCTGAGTGAGCATCTTTCAAAATATAGTTTATTAAAGATCAACCATCACTTGGATTGTGCTCAATCCGTAAAATATATTCAAATGATTACTAAAATGTAATTCGTAAAGATCATTTAATGAAATTGACTCTACATCACCCATAATGTCTTTACTTTTGTTTGCAGAAAAGTGACAACAATGCAAAGTTTTAAGTAGCTCCATGTGTACAATTAGGTGAAACTTCATTCAAGCGTCAAGCACACATCAATACGGGTATTATTTTTTTAAATGGTAAAAACTACCATTAAGCTACATATTTTTCGATTTCACGTGTAAAACTTTTGTTACTGAGAGAACATTTGATTGAAGCATTTAACCTCCTTATACTTTACTTCTGTTTCCCAAACAATGGCTACATAATTACATCTCAAACAAAGATCAGAGCAGAAAGAATAATTTACCTGTACTTGTAGGGGGTTGTGTATAGTTTCATGAGGTAAAGACACTGGTTACTGTATGTTAAGATAATTAGTTTGCCATGGAAACAGACTTCAATATGAACAGTGTTATGAACAGTGACTAGTTTGACACCCTGTCCCAGACAACTCTGTATTCTGTTGCATTCTCTTTACTGTAAAATAACTTCTCATTAGAGAAGCAGGCTGACTCAGTGGAGTAATATATAAAACCACAGACCCAATCCTAAAATATGTCCAAATAAAATATAATTTAAAAAAATATTCCACGAACATGGATATTAAAGTATACTTATGAACCATGGACTTGGTGGCCAATGCACATAGATTGAAAGTTATTCCTATGTTAGTTTTAATTTCTCCATCCAAATAAATGGCATCCAGTGAAGCCACTTGTAGAACCCCTCCTCTAATTATTGCCATAAGTACATGGATAGTCTTGTTATGCACCATTCCAAAAGAGATCTCAATTAATGTTAATGTCAGGCCAAACATGTCTTATGTTAAGAATGCTCTTCTGTGACTCTGTCAACAATTATCAAATGCAGAATAGCCAATGGGAGCTCTGTCAGGTCAAGGTCAGCGGGCACTTGATAGGTGACTTGAAAATATTCAGTTGTCACTATGCTATTGCTAGTCTTTGCAATCTGAAGAGCCTAATTAGCCAATATACAATAGCTTCAATTATTATAGTTGTTCCATTTTATGCTTAAAAAGTCAGTTTTTAGTTGATTGTAATGCAGCAGACTTCAAAAGCAGATATGTGCTGTATGCTGAACATGACTGTGCATCAATATCAGATGGGCAGTATTGCTGAGGAAAGCAGGAGCTTTCACACACCTTACTTCCCATCACAGCCAGGGCCTTCTCAAGAGCATTGAACATACATAAACTAAAATAATATCTCATGGATTACATTAAAATGTAAAATTAGGAGATACTCATTGGGAGATATTTATCATAGTGTTGAATTTAAAAATGGTGCAATGTGCCTTCTGGTTCCAATGGTTTCAGAACATGACACTTTCATAACCCCAAGTTTCTTAAATTAAATGTATTTACTATAAGCTAAACAAATGTGTTCTCCTTAATTTGCATCATATAAGGCATGAATAACATTTTGAAGTAATGATCAGTTATTTTTTAATAAAATAGGCCCTTCAGCTGTAAAGGCTGCCAGCAAGCATAGCATGAATAAATAATAATAAAATTAGTAGTGAAATCACAAACCCTCTTGATAAATAGGAGGGAGATCGGCACCTCACTCTCCCTTCATTACATGGGCAAGACGCAAGTGTAAATAAGTTTAGGGTCTCAATTATCTGTAGTGAAAGGAAGATCCTGGCCCTCTAACCATGCACAATGGTAGAGGAAGGAGCCAATCCTCAAGCCCATAGCCAGGGACAGTGGTAGGTGATGGGACCATGACCCTCTGGCTTACTTTATAGTGTAGCCCTAAGGAAAAGTCTAGGGAATTGACTTTCCTGCCTACAGTTTCTACACAACATGAGAAAACATGACTAAACATGATATCCCCTCACTATCCTCATCGTGAAAATGTAAGGGAAATAGTGAAATATCAATAAGTCGGTTAAGTAGAAGAGGGTTTGGAGAGACACATGAGTGGCAGGGTGCAGGATGGAGAGCAACACGAGGGCACACAATTGGCTGGTTAGAAGAAGGAGGAAACGTGGATGGGATGGGGCAGAGAGGAACGAGTGAAAACAATGTTGTACCAGTGGGAAGAAGGCCAATCCCTATATTGTGTCAAATGTCTCTGTTCGTCTTTTCAATCCGAATATTTCCCTTTTCCAGGAACTCCAAAATTTTCAAATGCAGGACTATAACAGAGTTTCACAGAAAAAAAATGCACCCATCATACAACACTACCCCTTTGCATTGCATGCCCCAAGGGACAATACCTAGTAATGTTTTGAATTGTAATGTTGCCAAGACTTCTTCCCAGTTGATGTTATTTACCTCTACATGTCCTCCTCAATCCTGAGCCATGCATTAATCAATATGTCAATCTTACAAAAAAAAAATTCTCCCTTATTGTCTCTTGTCGACCTTTTTTTTGTCTTGTATTAAAACCTTTATAAACAAAAATAGATATATAATACATGCAATTTTATATTAGTTATAAAATATGCTGGCCAATATGTTCCAAAACATTAACACAAAAAATATAATGCAAAAATGTAATGCAATTTGTAAATTTCTTTCACCTACAGTTCATTTAGTTTAATTGAAATCTGAACTAATCGAACACATGAAAAACTAACATTTGTGCAGTGCAAAGTGTTCAACAAACAAAAAAGTGGTAAATGCTACCACCTCTGGCCAAAATAGAAATATTTACAAAGATAGAAAGTCCTGATCTGCTACAAACATGGTGTTACCCTCTATAACAAGCACAAACTAACAGTTTTCAAAAGATATATTTTATTTTTTACTATTTTATGCTTGAAGCCTGACTTCACTTTCAAATTGCGTTCTTAAAACTAAAGTAAAAAAGTTAAAATAAAAACACCTCATTGTGTTAAACAAAACCTTTTATATTAATAATAGGCAAACTAACTTAGAAGCCTTTTGAATGGATTTTTACATGGGACCTGAGAAGGGAGAGCTGAAATAAGCAGTACTTACACATACAAGATTCTGATGAAATGTATGTCAACAGGGAGGTTTATTCTACTGGGGCAAAGTATAGAGACATAATAAATATTTAGCTGATATTTGCCAATTCAATAAAACATGGAAATATGAGAGCCCAGTAAAGAAATATTTGACTCAAAATATTAACTAATTGAGAGGAAAAGGAATGGAAAGAAAATTAATCTTTGAATAGAGGTCCAAGAAGACTTTTAACAAATATACAAGTGCACCGGGCAAGGCATTAACTTTTTATATAGACTAAATTCTGGCTCTGTGATAGCTGCTATTAACAAACAAGGGGGAGAGCTAGCATATGTTAGTAAATAAATGACTCTGGGAAAAGGCTTTTGTCATTTAACCCCTTAAGGACGGAGCCAAATGTACACGTTGTGAACAAAACAAAATGTAAACAAAACCTGGCATTTGCGCTACATGTCTGTCCAACCGTAATACACCTCTTTCATATTAAATACACCCACCCTTATTATATATCATTTTATTCAGGGGAAACAGGGCTTTCATTTAATATCAAATATTTAGCTATGAAACATAATTTAATATGAAAAAAATGGGAGAAAATAAGATTTTGTTTGATTTTTTTAGTTCTACATGACATTTTAATGGTCAATGTCATTATACTGTTTGCTTTTACTGCAATAAAATACACATATTTGTATTCAGTGAAGTCTCACGTGTAAGACAGTACCCCCTATGTACAGGTTTTATGGCGTTTTGGGAAGTTACAGGGTCAAATATAGCACCTTACATTTGAAATTGAAATTCGCCAGATTGGTTACGTTGCCTTTGAGACTGTATAGTAGCCCAGGAATGAAATTTACACCCATAATGGCATATCATTTGCAATAGTAGACATCCCAAGGTATTGCAAATTGGGTATGTCCAGTCTTTTTTAGTAGCCACTTAGTCACAAACCCTGGCCAAAATTTGCGTTCATATTAGTTTTCCCATTTAAAAAAAAACAAAACAAAATGCCCTTTCACTGATGATATCAATGTCATTATAAGTTTTACTGCTCTAAACCACTCATATTTGTGTTCAACGATGTGTCAGGAGTAAAACAGTACCCTCCTGTGAAGGTTTTATGGGCTTTTGGAAAGTTACAGGGTCAAATTTCTGTTTCCAGATTGGTTAGGTGGCCTATGCTGCTTTTGAGACTATATGGCAGCTCACAGAGGAGAATTACCCCATCATGGCATACCATTCATAAAAGTAGACAAACCAGGGTATTTAGAATGGAGTAAGTCTGGTCTTTTGTAGTATCCCTTTAGTCACAAACCCTGGCCAAAGTTAGCGTTCATAATTGTGTTTTATTTTATTTTTCACACAAAAACTGCACTTTTACTGATGATATCATCATCATTACAAATTGTAGTGTTCTAAACACACACATTTGTGTTCATAGAAGTCTGATGAGTACAACAGTACCCCATATGTACAGGTTTTGTGGGGTTTTGGAACGTTTTCAGGGACAAATATAGGGCTTTCCCAATTCTGTTTGTCTGATTGGTTTACTGGGCTTATGCTGCCTTTGAGACCATATGGCAGCCCAGGAATGAGAATTACCCCTATAATGGCATTCTATTTATCAAAGTATACAACCCACGGTATTCAGAATTGGGTAAGTTTGGTCTTTTGTAGTAGCCATTTAGTAACAAATCGTAGCCAAAGTTAGATTTCCTTTTTTTTTGTTGCATTTTTCACACAAAAGCTGCTCTGTTACTGATGATATCATCATCATTACAAGTTTTAGTGTTCTAAAGCACACATATTTGTGTTTAACGAAGTCTCACGTGTGTATGTATGGTACAAGTTTTATGGTGTTTTGGAAAGTTACAGGGTTAAATATAGGGCTTGATTTTCTGCCTGGGTTGTCAGGCAGGTCCATTGAGTTATAATTAATAAAATAAATTAATTATGTAAAAATAGTAGATAAATAAATAAACACGCCACTACTCCATACTAATTCTTCTTGATCTCTCTGCTGCCTTTGACACTGTTGATCATGCTCTCCTTCTTCAAACTCTTCAATCACTCGGTCTCCGTGACTCTGTCCTCTCGTGGTTTTCCTCTAATCTCTCCCAATGCTCATTCAGTGTCTCATTTTCTAATGATACCTCCTCCCTGTTACGCTACTTGGGTGATTTGGATTGGAACTCAACTGCAGCTTGTAAAACTCCCTAATTACAATTGTGAAGAAATGGAGAATCTTTAAAGTATCAATACTGTAGCTTTAAGAAAAGAGAGAATCACTGGTAACTTGAATCAACCAAAGTTTTAATAAGTGTTAAACTTAAATGAATTGCATTTAGGCAATAATCCAATAAGAAGAAGTGCAAGTAATCAACAACACAAAGTTCATTATTAAGTATTTCCTCAGAGATGCATTAAGTAACATTCTTTAAGATCATGAGAATAATCTTCAATAGAACAATAAGCAAGTAGCTGAGAATATTTGCAAAGCAGGAACAGTTCATAGTTAATAAGCATGATGGGAGTTGTCCTCCATATAATTAGTAGCTTGAAACATTGAGTGTCTTTGCAAAGCAAGAAACAGTTCATAGTGAATAAGCATGATGGGAGTTGTCCTCCATATAATTAATAGCTTGAAGCAGTGAAGATTTGAGTAAGCAAGCTTTAGTTCATTATTAAATGATATTGTAGACAAATAGATGAAAGATATACTCAAGGTTAATATGTGTAGTCCCCCAATAGTTCAGAGATATGGTCCACTTGTAAAGTAGCAAAGTATCTGTTCTCAAGTAATCCTTTATGGCATGCAGCAATCCTTGCATTGGCTCAAAGGCTGGAACGGCTTGTCTGACCTTGTGGAGAGGTAAGTCTGGTGGAAGTTGTTCCCAGTAGCTGAGCCTGTGGAGCCCAAGGAGGCAGCTCACACATTAGCTCCCACACAATCACCAAGCACCCTCTCTCTGGCCCAGTCTCCCTAAATACCATCAGAGCTGTGTCAGAGGGGGGCGGGGTCCGGCTCCTCACAGCTGAGTGCTGAACCCGGAAGTGTTACTCCATGACACTCCCCTTGTCCTCAGTCCTCAATCCTCAGTTGGCATCCCACATAGCTCTGTTCTTGGTCCACTTCTATTTTCTCTTTTAACAGCCTCTCTTGGCAAACTTATTACCTCATTTGGATTCCACTACCACCTGTACACTGATGACACCTAGATATATCTCTCCTCCCCGGACCTCTCCCTTGCCGTCCTGCAATGTGCCACTGCTTGCCTGTCTTCCATCTCTGATTGGATGTCCTCCCGCTTTCTGAAACTAAATCTCTCTAAAACTGAGCTCCTTCTCTGTCCTCCTCTTAATACTGATCCTCCTCCCCCTGCATTAAGTTAGTGGTATCCACATAAGTCCATCCTTGCAAGTGCGCTGTCTTTCTTACGCAAGATGCTACCAAGGAGCTTGTCCATGCTCTAGTAATTTCCTGCATGGATTATTGTAACCCTCTCCTAGTTGGTCTTCCTAAAAGCCGTATTGCCCCGGTACAGTCTGTAATGAATGCTGCCGCCAGACTGATTTTCCTCTCTAGTCGGTCCTCTCACATCTCACCCCTCAGTCAGTCCTTACATTGGCTTCCTGTATGCTGTAGGAGTCAATTCAAAGTGCTTACACATACCTATAAAGCACTGAACAATTATAACCCTTCTTATATCTCTTCACAGATCCATAGGTATGCCCTTTCTCGGTCTCTCCGATGTGCCCGTGACTTTCTCCTGACCGCTGCTCGCATTCGTATGGCCAACTCACGGTTGCAGGATTTCTTGCGGGCGGCTCCCTTCCTATGGAATAGCCTGAACTGAAGCACTGAACAGTTCTAGCCCTTCTTATATCTCTTCACAGATCCATAGGTATGCCCATTCTCGGTCTCTCCGCTCTGCCTGTGACCTTCTCCTGTCCGCTGCTCACATTCGTACGGCCAACTCACACTTGCAGGACTTCTTGTGGGCGTCTATTTTCCTATGGAATAGCCTGCTCACCGCCATCAGACTCTCCCTTGGTCTTCAATCATTTAAGAAGTGCCATAAAACCCATCTCTTTAGGAAAGCTTATGGCCTCCCAGAGTAACCTCTACCTCACATACCTGTCTCTTGCTCTCTCCTAAAGGGAAGCACATTACTCTCTCCACCATCTCTGCTTCACTCCCATCTTATTTGATTGCTATTTCCTGTCTTCATGTGCTTCATACCCCACCTCCTATAGACTGTAAGCTCGTTTGAGCAAGGTCCTCATCAACCTATCGTTCCTGTAAATTTTCTTGTAATTATCCTGTTTATAGTTAATTCTCCCCTCTCATAATATTGTAAAGCACTATGGAATCTGTTGGCGCTATATAAATGGTAATAATAATTAATAATAATAATAACAACTTAATTCTAAGTGTATTTTGGTATTAATATATAGATTAATACCAAAATACACTTATTGTTAAATTATATATGTATAACATATGTGTAGATTGGATTAGCCGTATTAGTCCAGTAGACAAGATGCCAAAATACCAAAGTATTGCAGTATGCAATGTGTAGCAGGCCCTGGGGTACCTGACTGGCTACACCCACTATAAATTAACTAAGAGACCCATCTTCCCCAGTAACTGGACGACACACAGTTCCAGGGTTACAACAACAACTTTATTGGCCACACTCAGCTTTATACTTTCACTATGCAAGGGGTGGATCACTCATACAGAAAGAGGACGGATGACGGAACTGGACCCTAATCCCATTGTCCCTTGTTCCTGCCACTCAGTATCCCTTCCCAGAGTCCTCCCCCTCCCAGGGGCCTGTGCATGTGACAGGAACCCCAGTTCCTTTGTTCTCAGTTCCCGCTACCCAAATTCAGGGTTTCCCACTTCCCGTGGAACTCCCAAGCACAGAAAGCCAGCCAAACCGCCACTGTACCCAAAGAGTGTCCCCAGCAATCTCAGGGACACCCAGAACGACAGCCGCCACAAACTGCCTCCATTCGTGGTGTCCCTGGGTGGAACCAAGCCGGGAAGCATCTCCTTTCGGGTCAAGAATGCTCCCCCTGGCCGCCATTCATCTATAAGAACGGCCGCCGCCCAGGGAAGCACTCTTCACACTTCTGTTGCAAGTTGCCAACGTTTTAATTGATTTATGTGAACATTCCAAGGGGCACTGGGTAGGTCCTCGTTCTGTTCCCGAATTAACAAATGCTCCCCCTAGCAGCTTGTGGTGTGCGGTTTTGTGAACGTTCTAAGACAACATTCTAAATGAGGTTTACACACACATCTTTATGTTTTATATAGTTCTTTTGCAATATTCTCATTTCACCTTTATTGGATCAATTTATATACATACATATTTGCAACTATATACTTGCATGCCCTGCTCTGCTCTGCTGTTTTCTTGTTTTGTTGTGCTTTCATTATTTAACTAGCTTATTGACTCTGCTTTGTTAATTTACTTTTCCTGGCTATTCTCAGCCAACCTGAACCTTTCACTTTTAGGCACATCTTCTGCTATCTATGACACCTTACTCGCACCCCTCCCTCCCCTTCTGTAGCATTAGTTGTTTTAAGTGTTGCTTCAAACCTGAGGAAGAGAGGAAAACTCTCGAAAGCTTTTCTTTGAAATATTATGTTAGTCCAATAAAAAAATGTATCATTGCATAGTGCAATATTCTGGTATTTTGGAATATTATATATGAATTACATATGTATCAGATTATTTAATTAATTTACAATATATTTTACATGTATAATATACTGTGTTAGTGTGTGATTTTAGCTTTTCTTTATTTTTCAGGCACTAGGGGGACTGCCTAAACACCCAGGCAGTCTCCCTGCAGGCAGTCTCATAGACTGCTTTGCGGCCTTGTGATGGCGACGTCCATCGCCATTACATGGCCCTGGAGGGCTGAAATGGAAGTAGGGGGACTGCCTGTCTTGAGTGGCAGTTCGCCCCCGGACTGGGATTGCCATGGATCGCCGGTCCAGGTAAATCTGCAGGACAGGGGAGTTCACGATCTTTAGGGCATAGTATGCCACCCTAACAGCATTTAGGCTATCTAAATTCAGGGGGTCATAGTACGCCGCATTGGCGTTAAGTGGTTAATAATAGGAAAATCTTGTAATGTACATCCACTTAAATAGGACTCTCCATTGCCCAAATACAAAAGAAAATGAAAATCACTATCTAGTCAATGAAAGCATGCATGCATATATTTTTGCCTTTTATAATTAGGTGTATATCTAAAACAGCTTGCAAAAGATGCAGATCTCTGGGCTGAAGTGTTTGCAAACCCTCCTTTTCTAACCTGGCTGTCTATTTACTGACTTCCCAATGCAGCTCAATGTCTTTGCAAGTCTTTGCAAGACAGGTGCTTTAAACAATTGCTGCCTCTTGAGTTTATCTTCACTGAGCTAAACAAACCAGGAAGTAACAGAGCCTGTTTTCTGATTGACAGCCGGAGAGGTGTAACCAGGTTAATTTATAAATGTACCAATTTATATTGGAATTTTTGTTTAAGCTAAAGTGCTTTAGGTGTTTGGAGAGTCCCTTTAACCCCTTAACGCGGTTACGGCGTTCTATGCCGTCCCCATTTAAATGGGCTTTAAAGCCGTTGCGGCGGCACAGAACGCTGTATCGGCTTTCTGCTCCAGGAGCTCGGTGGCACTTACCTCCACCGCTATCCTCTTCGGGAGGACTGTCTGACAGTCCAGGCAGCCCTCCCCCCGCAAATCTGGCCCCCTATAACTGGCTGTGGATCTGTCAGCAGGGGGACTGTCTGAAATGTCAGACAGTCCCCCTGCTGGTGGGAAGTATAAAAAAAATTTAATTAGACATGTTTAAAATAAATTACAAGTATATATATATATATATATATATATATATATAATACTTAGAATGATGTTACATATATATAAGATATGTATATATATATATATATATATTATATATATATAATACATCTATATATATTTTATATTGATATATACACGTATAATTACAATTTTAAATAAATATAATAATAAATTTAAATAAATAAAATATTTTTTAAAAATTAAAATAAATTATATATACATATGTAATTTCATTCTAACTGTATTTTGTAATATATATATATATATATATATATATATATATATATATATATGGATAACAAAATACACTTAGAATGACATTCTATATCTATCTATATATAAAATACAAATAACCGCAAATATATATATATATATATATATATATATATATATATATATACAGATAAATATATATAATTACATATATAACTACAAAAGTGTACACGTAGACTTTAAATACATATATATGTATATATATTAAAATTCTACGTGTATATTTAAGTACTATTTTAACATAATTATGTGGTTTAATTAATTAAATTTTGATTGACATGCCTGACAACCCAGGCAGAAAGTGCAGAGAATTTGAATTTAATATAAAACCTGTACATGGGGGGTACTGTTTTACTCTGGAGACTTCGTTGAACACAAATATTAGTGTTTCAAAATGGTAACTTGTATTACAACAATTATATTTTTAGTAAAAGGTGATGTTATTTGCATTTTTCACACACAAACGGCACTTTTACTGACGATATTATTGTTGTAATATGTTTTACTGTTTTAAAACACTTATTTTTGTGTTCAGTAAAGTCTCCCAAGTATAACATTACCTCCCATGTACAGTTTTTATGGTGTTTTGGAAAGTTAGAGAATCAAATATAAGGCTTGCATTTCATTTTTTTCACATTGAAATTTGCCAGATTAGTTATTGTAACGGATCGCCTGGCACCCCGACTGGGTACCTCTGTTGAAGGATGCTCCTAGCACTTCCTGAGGACTCTAAGCACTGCAGCAGACACCACAACCACCGAACCGGAGAAGCATATGAATCCTCTCAAGCATATGAATGCTGTAGACAGTTGAATAGGAACCATACGAATAGGTTTACTCTCCTAGCAGTCAAACTGGAACAGCATACAATAAATCCTTCCCCCAATAATGAGACGACACTTCATTTTGAGGGTTAAGCAGGAACTCCCTGTACTGTCACATACAGTCTCTTTTATTCCCAATCCACAAACATAGTACAGCCCACAGGGCGTTACAAAACAACCAATCAGTCTGTATAATACACCCAGACACTCCCACACAAAATCCTCCCCTCTGCATGTGATATGATTACTGAACACAATGGGTAATCTCATTATCACCGGCAGAGGAATACAGTTTTTACACAATATTTATAACTTCTAAAATATACATGTCACAAACATAAAACATACATTTTCATAATCAATCCATTCAGGGGAACAACATATTAAAAAATGGCACGAATCAGACCAGGGGTTCAAAAGTTAAGGGAAAGTCCTTTGTGACTAAATGAAGCATGGCTTTCCGGCCCAAACCAGTTTCAGAGTCTTCTGTCCTGGAGATAAGTAATTCAATTATCTCCCAGGACAGACACAAGACTCCATTAAGCACATGGTTGCAAAAAGACACAAAACACTTTAAAATACATAAAGTCACCTTTTACACATAAGACACAGACATTTCACATATCCCCAGATAGCTGGGATCTGAGCGCACAAAACTACCGAATAGCGCTCAGATCCTATTCACACAGTTCAATTGCCATGGAGCCGAAGTCTTTAACTACACGAATGGGCTCCATGGCATAGCTATCTGGGTTAACACATTCACATAAAGTCTGGTCCATAGTCCAAAGGCAAGAGGCGGGCAAGCAGCCCCCTCCAAGGACACGTGGCGAGGCCGGTTTCGCCACAGTTATGTTGCCTTTTGAGACCGTATGGTAGCCCAGGAAAAAGAATTACCCCCATGATGGTGTACCATTTGCAAAAGTAGACAACCCAAGGTATTGCAAATGGGGTTTGTCCAGTCATTTTTAGTAGCCACTTAGTCACAAATACTGGCCAAATATTTGTGTTTTCCTTTTTTCACACAAAAACAAATATGAATGCTAACTTTGGCCAGTGTTTGTGACTACTACAAAAGACTGGACATACCCCACTTGCAATACCTTGGGTAGTCTACTTTTGCAAATGGTATGCCATCATGGGAGTAAATCTCATTCCTGGGCTACCACACGGTCTCAAAGGTAACATTACTAATCTGGCAAATTTCAATAAAACACAGTTATTTCTAAAACACAGTAAAAACTGTTAATGGGGGCTACTGTTGTACTTATGAGACTTTGCTGAATCCAAATATGTGCTTGTTTGCAGTAAAAGCTAACAGTATTGTGACATTTTCAGCTAAAATGTGAGGCGGAACTACAAAATTAAAAAAAAATGTTTACATTTCTCACAGTTTTTTGTAGTTTATTCATAATAAATTATGTTTCATATATAAATATTTGATATGAAATGAAAGCCCTGTTTCTCCTGAACAAACTGATATATAATAACTGCACTTAATATGAAAGAGGTGAATTACGGTTGAACAGACATATAGTGCAAATTCTAGTTTTTGTTTACATTTTGTTTTGATCAGAACGTGTACTATTGACTCCGTCCTGACGGGGTTAAATCAGTTTAGCTAAGGTTTGGCTTGCAAGTCTGCTTCAAAGTATTTTATATTTTCAAACTTTTGTATCAGGTACTGGATGAATAGAGAGAGACAGAGTGAGTTTATAATGTAGGTGGAGCCAAATCTTGTAGTAGTTTGTTTTGGATGCAGTATGCTCTGCCTACTGTAGACATTCAGGATCATAAACATGAAAGATCCCAATCTCTTAATACCACTGCATAAATACAGGCAAGTTAATCCGTTTCAGCAGTGTATGGCATATGCACAGTGTTCCTGTTGATTGAAATGGTTGAGAAATACCAGCATTCTCCTGGTACCTGCTGAATCAGCAATTCACAGAATTTTTTGTGAATTGTTTCCACAATGCACTATAAAATAGGGTGGAAGTGTTGCTTTATGTGTTGAGGTGCAGTTTTGAAATGAAATTATGATAAATCTGCTAACCTTAATGTTGATCTTAGCAGATAATCAACATTCATACATGTGATATACATATCTTCGGACTTTCATTACTTTCATTAGTCCCTGGCCTTATCTTATAGTTAATTCTAACTCTAATGGGCCAAGCAGCGTACTGCAAAATATGTACATAATATAATTAAATAACATATATTTTACACTACACTGATTGACTCGAGTGAGAAAGAAAAAGGGGGCAGGCAAGTTTCGACCAACAGAGGTTTGACTTTTCCAAATTTCTTTAACAAAAAAAGATTTGGGAAACATAAAACAAACTAAACGGGCAAGAAAATAGGCCAATTGCTGTACTGAAAATGATATAGATAGTATAAATATTCTGTATATATTTTGCAGTACACTGATTGGTGCATTTTCCAACCATTTAGCTCTTAGATCAAGTTAGAAAATATATCCAATAGAGGGAAAAGAGGAAGAGGGAAAAGAGGAAGAGGCCTTATAATAAGCTATGTTTAGATATTTTTATATCTCATATTTATTAAATATATATTCTATAAATTTAGATTTTTTTTTGTAATGTTCTTCCCTTTTTTCCTCTGTTGGTCATTTCTCACTTAATCTGTGAATAAAATCAACTTTTGGTGGTTGTTCTATAGACATCTATTATCTTTGACCCCATCAGTCATCTCTTTACTTGGTGCCATAAGTGGAACTCCGAATCCTGAAGCAAACTAACATGCTTGTCCAACAAGGTAACTATGTGCTCAGTTATATGTCCATATGGCGTACAGAATCAAGTCGAACAGCCTATCCATTTAAATTCAGATGAATTGCAAATCAGCAGAAACCAAATTCATAAGTCTATCAGTTATATCATATGTCTATCATGCTGACGCCAATAACATGTGAAGCCTGCATGAGCAGGTTGATCCTTTTCTACCATTCAGTTGCGGTTGCTCTAAAGATGTTGATGTTAAGACATTTATGGTATCTGTAGGTGGCAAACGCTAGTAGTGGTAATTGTAAAGCCATCGATATTATTTGGTTGCAAATATCTCCAATAGGCGGATATCTAATGCCATCATTGAAAATGATTGTTATGTTATATTTTACAATATTAGGTACACAAAAATTGACAGCCAATAAGCCATAAATTACCATTATGTGTTTATATCACAAAGATGTATTTGTAATATAAAGATATATGGAAAAAAAAGTTTCTGCTGTGCAGTTCATCCTAGATTATTCCAAGACATTTAACTACACATATGAATTTGACTATAATAATAATAAAACATGTATACATTCACTAATTAACAAATAAATGAATATTCTACAACATGATGTGCCAGAGTAATTTGTTCTGTATAATAAGGTACGGAATCTACTGGACAAATATTAAAAATAATGAAAATAAGAACTAATCTTAAAGTCTATATTTGTTGGTGCTGACTAATTCACTACTTTTCTCTTCCAAGCAGTGATCTTGGGCAAGCAATTCAATATTTGTGACCGGTGTAAAGATATAATGTTCCTTCCCTTGTTCTGTAATCAAGGATCGATAAAATATCCAGTAACTCAGCACAGTACTGCAATACACATGATCACATCTCAATCACAAAACAAGTAACATTTTGGTCAATAGACATTATTGCACTTTTTGTCCAATTAATGACAAATAGTACACTTCAATGCACACCATGTGACAGGTAACAATGTCTGTTACCATAACAACCACTAGAACTAAAAACAATTAAAATCAACAACCACATGTTAAAAGCGACTTGAGGGAAAAGGTTGTCACATTTGCAATTACATTTTTGTATCCAATTCCTTTTATATATAATTATTCTTCTATATATCATGCTACCATAGATAGATAGATACCGTATATAGACAGATATGTAGATAGATACATGACAGATAGATAAACCGATAGATAGACAGACAGACAGATAGATAGATACAGGGCTCAAGTCCTGCAGGAACGCGTGGGAACTGTGTTCCTGCACTTTTTTTACAGCAGGAACGCCGTTCCCGTTGCTACTGCAGGCACTAAGGGGGCAGCAAAAAATGCCGCCCCCAAATGCCCCCTATGTTCCCTCTGTCATGGGGGGGCCCCAAGAGGTGGCCTGATGGCCACCTAATGGACCCCCCCCCCAGCGGGGGTCTGTCTCCCTGTCAAACACTGCTCCCTCGTGCGCCGTTTGCTGATGACATCATATTCCATCTCCCAGCATCAGTAGACAGCGCGCACGCGGAAAGGGAGCAGAGCTGGGAGAACACAGCTCCCTCGCCACGTCTGACAGGGAGACAGGCGCCCGCCGCACTGAAGCCCAACTGGACCCCAAGGAGAGGTCCACGCCAGCTCTCCAGGTAGGGAGGTTGGGTGGACATTTTTAAATTTAAAAAAATAATTTGTGTGTGTGTGTGTGTGTGTGTCTGTGAGTGAATGACTGGAGTAGAGTAGGCACTTCTGAAAGGTGTGTGATAGAATAGATTTAGCAGCTTTTTTCCTACTTGTAGGAATTTTTTTGTTCTTGAAGTAGTTGAGTAACCCTCCAGAAGGACCGCCTGGATGGTCTGCCTGGATAGATCTCTGATATGGAGGTAGATCTCCTTGATGTCCCCATGAAGTATCCACACAAATTTAATGAGGACATCTCTGGGTGCCTCTTTTGGGGTTTTAATGGACCTAGAAAGCAAAAGCAGCAATGTGTCAGTTTAACCTGTTTAGGGGACAGTATGGTGAAAATGAGTCTGTGAACATAATGAGGAAGCTCTCATTGGTAATGGCCTCAGGGATCCCACTTTCCCCCAAACCTGGCTTTCACTTTTGGACCTTGGAACCTGATGCATAAAAGTCTCTTTCTCAACGAAGCCTGGGAGTGCAGGGCTTAGTTCATTGGCTGAGAGCCTAATGCTCTTAGTCAATAAGATGGCCATCCACTGCAGGGTTTAGCTCAGGAGAGCTACCGTTTTTAGATTGTAAGCTATTTAGGCACGGCCCTCTTCACCTACTATTTCCATATTAAAATTAGTTTTGTTAGAAGCATTAGTCTTGCTTTACCTGATATACAGAGATGTGGAATATGTTAGCATGAGATAAATAATGTTAATGTCTGAAAAATGTCTAGAAAATGTCTACAAAGAGAGAAGGCAGGAAGGGGTCCCCCCCAAAACAGTTTTGACTACTTACAATGAGAGAGCGCCAGGACACTCACTCCTAGTGCCATAAACACTACAACAAGCTTTAGGGGTATGGTACTTGAAGTGTATTTTTAAAATATGATTGAAAGAGAGAATTGATTTGAGCATTGTGACAGGAGAAAGATGAGAAGAGGCTAACCAACTTATACCTTATATAAAATTCTGAATAAATATTGTCATATTTAGATTGGCTATGATTATTATCTTGAATCTATACTATGCTGCATTAGTACACAAGAGTATGTCTGAGTTCATTTGAACATGACTGAAGGTAAGTGGTTTTTGAAAAATTTCGAAATGCATGCTTAAAGGAATTCACACGCTCTTCCAACATGAAACAGAAAGTGCCAGTTTTGAAGTTTTCCTATCCGTACACTTCAGAGTCACTAAAATTATATCTTTTTAAGTACTCAAAACTATTATAGAACAAAAAAAATGAACTGCTTTAGAATAAAAAAAAAATGCAAAAATTCTAAGCAGAATAAATAACATAAAAGTAAGTGATGGCGTAATTTGAATAGTGTAAAACTTCACTAAGGATGGAATGTTTGATGGAAATGATAAATTAATGGAGTTAATGTGTATGCTTCATAATGCAATGGTGTCATGGAGACATGAAATACATCAAAATATCTTTTTTTATTTTAAACTTCTGAGTGGTTTGTTTGCTGTGTATACATACATTGTGAGAGATAATGCTGCATATAAACCCTTAAGTATTATAACCGTTTCCAAACGATTTCTCATTTACAGTAATTCTTGTAATTTACACTTCTCATGAGTCATGATTAAGAAATAATGTTTAATATTTATAAGATTGAGAAAATTTGCCAACTTTCCTATGATGTATTGATGTATTTTGTTAAATAATGTGTTTGCATATTTATAAACACCTTGTTAGTGTGTTAATTAATAAACATGTAATGTGATGACCTAAACTGGCAATCCAATTTATTGTTTTAAAAAAATATATATACTGATCAGCCACAACAAAAAAACCACCTTCTTAATATCATGTAGGTCATCCTGCCAAAACAGCTCTAAAGTGTCGATGCATGGACTCCACAAAACCTCTAAGCGTGACCTGTGGTATCTGGTACAAAGACATTAGCAGCAGATCCTTTAAGTCCTGCAAGGTGTGATGTGGGGATCTCCATGGATTGGATTTGTAGTTCCAGAACATCCCACAGATGATCAATTTGATTGAGAACAAGAGAATCTCGATGCCAAGGCAACACCTTGAACTCTTTGTCATGTTTCTCAAACCTTTCCTGAACATTTTTTTCAGTGTGGCAGGGTACATTATCCTGCTGAAGCACGCCACTGATTTTGTTAAAAAACTGAACCAAGTACTCTAATCTGCAGGACCAAAAGGCCTATAAAAGTCAGAAGTCAGAGGAAATAGGAGAGATTGTCACCATGCAATCAGTACTGACTAACACTAACATGGCGGCGTTTGAAAAGTGTCACACAAAAGTGTAGCGTGGTTAAACTCAGAGATAGAGGAACTAAACAGGAAAATGACAAGTTGCAGAACATGCTGTTATTAGTGAGCAGTTTTCTACATACCCACAGTAATCATAATACAGACAGTAGAATATTAAAGCACTACATACAAATAAAAAAATGTCACTAGTTCTAGTTTCGAATGTCAGGTAGTAAGACCAGCCTTGTGGTGCACACCTGCAACTGGAGATAACTTATAAACGATAATACATGATTAATCCTTTCTGCTTACCCCTCAAGGAAGGAAACTGACATCTTTATGTTGAGGGTCAATTGCTTTTCTGGACACATACAGGAATTTTTACTTATGCTGGTGGCACAGAGATATAAGCAGAATTATTTAACAGAAAATGAATCTACATGTACTAGCAATTTACTTGTCACAATATAGAGATCAAATTTCATTCTCAATAAAATTAGATGGCCATGTCAGTATACTTTTCTTAATTGGTTGTGTTGAATTGTTTATTAACCCCTTCAGGACTGCTGACGGTTCAGGACCGTCAGCGGTAAAACGTGCGTTTGGACCGCTGACGCTCCTGAACCGTCATAGCGAAAAAAGGGCTTCAGGAAACGATCAAAGATCGCCCCCGCCAGTATAACGCTGTAACTATCTGCCAGACATCCCAGGCAGATAGTAACAGCCAATTGCGATCGCTCACAATTGGCTGCTGTCAAAGTGGGTGTTACAAACAGTCACTTTGACAGTCATCTCTGCCCCTCTCTCCTCTGTAGCGTTTTGTGAGGCGAGAGAGAAAGAGATCATGATAGTTTGTTGCAGCAGAAGTGTTCCAGAGCTTTATACAGTATCCAAAGTGAATAAAAAAAAAATCATTTTAACCCCTTCCTTGCCAGATTTTTTACAGCAGTGCATTTGTACTGTCTGTATATTTTTTTTTGCCCTTAAAGGGTTAAATTTGTTTTAAAAAACTGTGTTTTGGTCTGTCTTGGTCTGTTTTGGTCTGTCTTGGTCTGTCTTAGTCAGTCAGTTTCCTTCCCCCAAATCTCCATTAGATTTTTGTGACAGGAGCTAGTTTAGGGATTGCTGTTTAGTCTGTTTTAGTAAAAAAAGAAAAAAAGTATAATTTTTTTTGTGTGTGTTTGTAATTTGTTTTAGTCGTGTGTAAAACATGCAGCATATGTATAACTTGCAGGAGGCATATGCCTTCTTGGCATCAGACTCTGACGCCACTGACACTGTGTCAGATTTTGACCCAGGTCAGTTTTCTGACACGTCTAGTCAAGACGACATGTCATCTGTGTGTGAGCTGGCTGAAGAAAGAAGCTGTGCTTCCTCTGCTACGCCGAAAGTGGAGGAGGACTGGGTACCTTCACAGTTAGCCGAGCCCAACGTCCCCCCTTTTAGTGCCAACGCAGGCATTAATTTTAATGTGGATGACTTCTACCCAATGCAGTATGTAGAACTATTTTTAGGGGATACCATCTGGGAGGAGATTGCTTCCCAGACTAACTTGTATGCTACCCAATTTATTGATAACAATCCAGGTAGCTATACAGTCAGGGAGCATGACTGGCATCCCACAGATGTCCCAGAGCTTAAAAAATTCTGGGCTCTAACAATGCTCATGGGTATTATAAAGAAGCCATCGATTCGCTCATACTGGAGCACCAACCCAATAATGTCTAGTCCAGTATTCTCCCAAACCATGCCTAGAGCCAGATACAAGTTACTGCTGAGATTTTTACATTTCAGTGACAATATCCTCTGTCACCCTAGAGATCACCCCTTATACGACAGGCTTCATAAAATACGCACACTGCTAGACCATTTTCAGGACAAATTTTCAGATGTTTATACCCCCCAACAAAATTCATCCATAGATGAATCTCTAATGAAATACAAAGGGAGATTAGGGTTCAGACAATACATCCCCTAAAAAGCACTCTAGGTATGGCATCAAACTGTACAAACTGTGCGAGAGCGAAAGTGGATACACGTTTGCCTTTCGTGTATATGAGGGGAAAGATGGTCAACTGGACCCTCCTGGCTGTCCTGACTCCCTGGGGACAAGTGGGAAACTTGTATGGGACCTACTAAACCCCTTGTTTAATAAAGGTTACCACCTTTATGTGGATAATTTTTATAGTAGTGTCCGTCTGTTTAAAACACTTTATGGTTTACAGACACTGGCCTGCGGCACTGCCAGAAAAAATTCCAAAAACTTTCCAAGATCTCTAATAGAGGCAAAATTTAAAAAAAGGCTAATGTAAAGCACTTCGCAAAGCTGAAGTGCATGCACTAAATTTTAGGGACAGGAAGGATGTCAACATGCTAACCACCATCCATGACGTCTCTGTCTGGGGAAGAGTAGAGTCCAAACCAGTTTGCATCAGGGCATGTAATAAGTACATGGGGGGTGTTTATTTGGCTGATCAGCTGATGCAGCCATATCTTATTTTACGAAAAACCAAAGCATGGTATAAAAAGGTGGCTATCTATCTGATGCAAATAGCAACCCACAACTCATTTTTGCTTTTAAAAAAAATAATCCAGGGAAAACCACCTTTCTCCAATTTCATTTGAAAATAATTTCTTTAACAATTTATGGAGATGGACAAGTTCCAACAACGGTGCAAGCTGAGTCCAGACATTTTATTTTTAAGTTACCGCCAAGTGCTAGAAACCGCCCCACCCCCCAGAAACGTTGCCAGGTCTGTTTTAAAAACGGGAAAAGGACAGACACCCCTTTTCACTGTCCTGATTGCCCTTCGAAAACCAGGACTGTGTGTAGGAACATGTTTCAAGCTGTACCACACAGAACAGTTGTAAGAAGTGTTCCTGAATTTTTATTTTATTTGTTGTTTCTTTTGAAAGCAGCCATTTTTTGTTAGTCAGTTTCCTTCCCCCAAATCTCCAGTTTTTGTACATTTGCTACCTGCACATTTGGTCTAACAACTTTTCTGGCAGTAACACATAACCAGCTGGCCAAAACCAGATGACATGTGCATAAAAACCGGGGGGCAAAATGGTTGGGGGAAAGAAGTCAAAACACCCTATCTTCTATAACCTTTGATGTCTACTTTATAAAAATATATACTATATATACTGTCATGATGGTAGCATTAACTGGGGGTGCAAAAATATGTCAAACTGAAGATAGACCAAGCATACCTATATATCAATTTGAAAAACGGACACGTTCAAGTTCTGTTTGTTGCCTTTTGGCCTCCAAACAACCCAGCAACCCTATACATGGGGGTATCACTGTACTTGGGAGATGTTGCTGAACATATTGGGCAGTGTTTGGCAGTGACACATAACAGGATCTGTTAATGCATGCCTAAATTATAATGTGTGTGACAAAGAAACAAAAAAAGATTACTACCCAAAAGTTTGACAAAGGCTGGTGGTAGAATTCAGTGCATGAAAAGTGTTAAAATACCACCATGTAAAATACCTTGAGTTGTCTACTTTTCAAAAATATATGGTTTGATGGGGGTAAAATACATTGGCTCAAATGGGACATGGGCGCAGGTTGATTACATGGGGGTAAAATACATTGGCCGGCTTCAAAAGTGTCCCAAATAGGACATGCATGCAGGTTGACTACATGTCAAAATTCCAAGTTGGGAAACTGATATGCGCACCTGCAAAATATGGCCTTTTAGCCCCCAAACAACCCAACACACCTATACATGGGGGGTATCCCTGTACTTGGGAGATGTTGCTGAACACATATTGGGGTGTTGTTTGGCAGTGACACATAACACGATCTGTTAATTCATGCCTAAAGTACAATGTGTGTGAAAAAAACAGAACAAATTTTACTAACTCAATGTTTGACAAAGCCTGGTAGTAGAATTAGTGCATGGGAAGTGTTAAAATACCACCATGTGAAATACCCTAGGGTGTCTTCTTTTCAAAAATATATGGTTTGATAGGGGTAAAATACATTGGTCGGCTTCAAAAATGTCCCAAATAGGACATGCATGCAGGTTGACTACATGTCAAAATTCCAAGCTGGGAAACTGAGATGCGCACCTGCAAAATGTGGCCTTTTAGCCCCCACACAACCCAACACACCTATACATGGGGGGTATCCCTGTACTCGGGAGATGTTGCTGAACACATATTGGGGTGTTGTTTGGTAGTGAATTTATACCTGAATTGCAATGTATTTGAAGAAAATAAAAAAAATAAACTACCTATGCAAAGTTTGGCAAAGGTTTGTGGTAAAATGACTGCATAGAAAGTATCAAAATATTCTTAGATGAATACTCTGGGTTATCTAGTTTAAGAAATATATATATATATATATATATATATATATATATATATGTGGGGTGTTTTTTGGAGATTTATGACATAACAGTGTTACAATGTCACTATTGATACATTTGAAAAATGTACATTTTGAAACAGCAATTTCCTACTTGTACTTATAGCCCTATAACTTGCAAATAAAAGCAAAAAAACACATAAACATTGGGTGTTTTTAAACTCAGGACAAAATTTTGAATTTATTTAGCAGTTTGTTTCATTCGATTATGTAGATCAGTAAAAGATTTTTTAAGTAAAAGTAAAAAAAAACATTTTTTGTAATTTTTCACCATATTTTATTATTATTTTTAATTAAATTATATGACATGATAAAAATAATAGTATGTAAAAAAAAGCCCTTTTTGTCCTGAAAAAAACAATATATAATTTGTATCGGAACAGTAAACGAGAGAGCGGAAAATTACAGCTAAACACAAACACCACAAAAGTCTTAAAATAGCTCTGGTCCTTAACGTACAAACATCGCTAAAATAGTCCGGTCCTGAAGGGGTTAAATGAGCACCATATTGTTATATATTCCTAATGCTATAGTGATCTGCTCACTGGTTAGAATACTGACTCTGATTGTGTCAAAGAAAAGGGTAGTTTACTTACCTTTTCTCCCTCACTGTGGTGCTCTTACTGTGGCTGGCCTTGCCTCCTTGGCTTAAGTCATTAATCTTGATGATCTCAGCCAATCAAATGCTTTCCCATAGGAAGAGGCTAGTGTGCAAATCAAATAGTCTCTGAGCTCATCTGATTAAATAGCCAAGTTAAATATTGTATGCGACTGTTCCTCCAATAAGGCCGTTGTTTTCAGATGCAGGAATAAACCAACAGGGACATGGCACCCAGACCACTTCAATGAGATGACATTTTCTGGGTGCCTTTGGTATTGCTTTTAAATAATTAAATCACAATAAAATGTTCCATGCTCATAATGACTAACAGGTGTGTTTTTTTTTAAGCACTGCCAAACTATTAACACCTCATTTACAAATACTTGGGAAAAATTATTTCCTCAAGGTGAATCTATTTTGAACCATCATTATGACTTAAAAAAATCCTAGTAAGAATATAAGATCTTCTGTACGCTGTTAAAATGTCTGAGTTAGTGACATTCCCCTTGTTCTTCTTTTCAAATGACTCTCATCGTATTTTGTGTAGCACAGAGCCAATTACACCAGGCAGCAAGCTTTCTAATGAGTGCATCCTCCTCTGTGCACATAATCCCAATTAATAGTGGTGTGAAGCGGCGGGGAGTACATTATGTATTCTGTTAATAAAAATTCAGTACAGAATTTCCTGGACAGGTTCCTTATTTTACCTACATCCACCTCACATATAGTTTGCAAATAAATTCCTATTAGACTTGTGCATGATAAAAAAAATGTTTTAGCCAAACCAGTTGAACGGAAATAAAAAAAATTGGATGGGCAAATTGTTTGGTATGGTGGTTCGGGCTTGTCCAAATTTCTTCAGGGAAAAAAAAAAGTCAAGAGAGCATGAAAATGGGCCAATCAGGATACTGCTAAATATATACATACTATAAATATCACTGTACTGCAAAATATACACATAACAAAAATATTATGCATACATTTTGCAGTACACTGATAAGAGCATTTTCCCGCTCTTTGGGTCATAGATCATGTAAGAAAAAGTGGTGGTGTTTTTTTTTAACTGCTCCTCCTTTTTCCTTCTGTTGGCCAAGTCTGACTTGATCTATGAATAAAATCAGCATCTAGTGGCTGCCCCCCAGCCATCAATCATCTTTTTTCCCCAAACATTATTTCTTTTTCTGGCACCACAGGCGAAATTCGGATCACAAACCAAAACAAACATGGTGAGCAATTGCATGATTTTCACTACAGCTTTTGCTCTATTTTTTCATTACAGACAGAACTTATCTTATTTACATGTCAGACTGATCCCACACATAAGGGCATTCCAGATACAAAATACTGGAAGTTTGTAGAGACACACCAATCCCAGACAATTATTTTGACCTACTTTGGGCCTTGCCATAGAGGTGTAGCTTGTACCCAACTAGACGCAATAAGAGGCAATAATATTTCCACGTTCGGAGACCCCATGCAAATGCATTGAGCAAAATCTGAGAATATGACAATACTTAAACCTGCAAAGACTCAGTTGTTTGTCCTTTGAGTTAACCCATTATGCAGTGACAGCCATGTTTTTGTTGTTGGCTTTGTTTTGAATAACTAGCTATCTTGAGAATTAGTAATGAATCACACCAGTATGCAATGCTATATACTTTAACCTATATCAATCTCACCAGAGCTCTAAAGCAGACAAAGCATCTTTTTCACCTTTTGATATCGCCATGGAATATAATTATATCTTGAAAATGTATTCAACCAGGACCCTGTGGCAATGTAAGATCAGATCCAAGTCAAAACGCAATTGTGCATTATTTTTCTAGTTTCATGTCAAAAGACACATGGGCAGTTATAGAAAAACTATCTGCAGAGACACAAGGAGAGTTCAGAATGGCTCCAAAAAACATCAGTTAGTATACAGCAGGGTCCGTGTGTATGTTTCTACTGCTTAGATATGTCCTCATTATGAATCTTATAACAATGAGTATATTCCTTCGCTGTTTTATAGGTTCCCTCTCTCTCATGTGATACAAATTGCCCAATCAGAGTCTTCTCCAATGTTAGCAAAGAACCTGCAGCAAAGCATTCTTTTTTTCTACTTCTTATAATTTAATCAAAATGATCTGTAATGTGTGAGCTTCTCCTGTTATACTTAGAAGTCTCTATGAGAGATCTCTATTGATATAGTCATAGTTATTAACATTTATTATTCTAATATACTCTTCACTGTCGTTAAAATACTTTAACTGAGTTTAGAAAGTCCTTTTAATAGGTCGGTAACTCTGTTCTTTTGATGTACATAGATAACTAAGAAAATCTTAATTTATTATGGTGAAGCACAATTTCACCTGCTTCTTTATATGCCATTGAAAGTGCTTAACTTTGTCTTTATTCAAGATAACTTCATTATTTTTTTGTTTAGATAGTCTTTCTTATCTCATAAAAAGGTAAGAGTTTTGTAAATGTCAAACTGATTTATGCTTGCATCAAAGTTGTTCTTTAGAGTAATACAGATAGAAACTCTTTTCATATGAATGGCCAATAAATGGCCTGCGGCTTCCTTTTCATTGCTGTAGAATCTCAGATTGTGACTATTCACAGCAGGGATGATAGGACTACACTGCAGAAAGTATTTATTTTGACTTAATTACAAAGAAGGAAACTTTGTTGTGTTCTTGTAAAAGTACCGATTTTCTTTTCTTTTAATTCTAACAGATTAATACACCTGCACTGCGAATTCATGCATGGAGGGAGCCTGCTGTCTGTTAACAGTGTGTAATAAGGGCAAATGTGCATCCTAGGCAACGCATAGTCAGAACACATATACAAAATATATGCATGACTCCAAGAAAATGTATAAAACAGAAAAGTTCATCCATGTAAGCCAATTCATTGCAGTTTTATGTAATTGTCCTTAAGCTAATTCAAATTGTTAATTTGCAAGACACATTTACAGATGCATTTGTGAGCAAAGTGAAGTCATGGAGTTCATATTAGTGCAGCTCACTTGGGATATGCAACAAATAAACTACGATTTCCAAGGGGGAGATTGCAGAAGTCCTGGTGTCACAAACAGTGGATGATCTTCGGCAAGATATAAGCCAAAAAGGGCACAGCTGGAATGACAGAAAGCTGTATCACCTTTGTAGTTCTCCTTTGAATAATTTATCATGGGAAAAGTTAATATTGGGTTTTAATTACTTTGGAATGCAGAGTTCAAGTGGGTTGTCATCCATAAATTGTCAACCAGCTTTCAATATTTCGATGTTATTCCTAATTTGAGTTTACACAGTTTTAAAGTTGTCAATCCGCATACTTGTTTAGTGGAACAGCGTATTGCCTATCTTTAGCAAGTAGCCATAAGCCAAAAGGGGCATGAAGATTGGTTGGCATGATTTCTTTTTTTTAAATTAATTTTAATTATTACTCTTTGAAAATAGAAAAAAAAGCCACAATTATCCACTAATGTAAAGAAAA